GCGGAGGGGGCAGCTCCCTGGTCCCCGCAGCTTTGGTCAGCTGCTTGGGAGGAGGAGGCGGGTCCCCGATCCCCGCAGATTTGGTTGAGCAGCTTGGAAGGAGGAGGTGGGTCCCCGGGCCCCCGCAGCTGCAGTGTTCTATCAAGTGACTGTGATTGAATGTGTGTATTCCAACATGATGAGGACTTTGTAACTGCAGGGGAATGTGCGATCTCACATTCCTCCAGTCACAGCATAGTGCTTGTACTGCACATGGGGAGGAGGGTGATTCGCAGACAGCAACATAACTACAGGAGTGTTAAAATCAGATCTGGCTGATCGCTGGCTGATTTTAACACTCTTATCATTATGTTACAGGAGAAGCGGAGAAGGGCGGGTCCCTGAAGCACTGGTCGAGCGGCGTAGAAGGCCGGGTCCCCAAAGTGTGGGTCCAGTGGTGGAGGAAGTCGAATGCTCGAAGCGTTGGTTCAGCGGTGGAGGAGGCCGGGTCCCTGAAGCGTCGGTCCTGCTGTGGAGGAGCCCAGGTCCCTGAAGCGTCAATCCTGTGGTGGAGGAGGCCGGGTCCCTTAAGCGTTGGTCCTGTGGTGGAGGAGGCTGAATCCACGAAGCGTCGGTCCTGCGGTGGAGGAGGCCGGGTCCCCAAAGCCCCGTCCCCACGGTGGAGAAGGCTGGGTCCCCGAAGCGTCGGCCCCACGGTGGAGAAGGCCAGGTCCCCGAAGCGTCGGTCCGACGGTGGAGGAGGCCATGTCCCCGAGGCATCTGTCCGGCGTTGGAGGAGGCCAGGTCCAGCAGTGGGAGGCTCAAGCTGACAGCAGATGTTGACAGGAGGAAGGCTGGGGAGTTGCAGGTAAGAGGATCACACAGTGCTGGTAAAAGGACCCTGCAGAGCCCAGCATAGATTCTGCACAGCCCACCTAAGAGTGGGGTCTATAGTGGGTTCTGCAGGGTCTCAGGGGGGCTGTGTAGGATCTATAGTGGGCTCTTCAGGGTCTCTGGGGGGCTTTGCAGCATCTGTGGTGGGCTGTGTGGGGTCTCAGTTAGGTTCTACAGGGTCTATGGTGGGCTCTGCAGGGTCTCTTTGAAGCCTGAGACCCTGCAGAGCCCACCTGAGATCCTTCACAGCCCACCATAGACCCTGCAGAGCCCACCATAGACCCTGCAGAGCCCACCACAGATCCTGCAGAGCCCACCATAGATCCTGCAAAGCCCCCCTGAGACCCCAGCTTTCCTACTATGCTAATAGCGGAACATGCCAAAAGCTGGATATAGCATGTGTGCTGTATACAGCGAATGACAGGTTATGCAAAAAGTCTTAAACAGGAAGGGGTAGGGCAAATTTAGTGTGTGTGTGTGTGTGTGGGGTTAAGCTGCTCAACCAAATCTGTGGGGGACTGGGGACCCGCCTCCTCCTCCCAAGCAGCTGACCAAAGCTGCAGGGACCTGAGTTTTGTCTTGCCTAGGGCAGCCCCAAAGCAAAATACACCACTGACTAGGGGGTTGATTTACTATGAGGTTGATTTTAAGGCAACTAGATTCTCCACTTTGAAAATTAATTTGCTCTTTGCAGGCCATGTTCCCCTTAGTTCAGTGAATAAGGTGAAGCTTTGCTAACTTCCATCGTCAACCTATGTTTTTTTGTGTTGAGCATGATTGAGTCATCTTTGCAAAGTGAATTTTTACTACATTCACTAGGCTAAGGCAAACTTTCCTTGCAAAGTGCACATTCCCCTGTAACTGTCTTTTTTTCTTCCCTAACTGTCTTATCTAATAAAGAGTATTTATTTTTAAGTGCCAATAATTAAGTGCAGTAACCCATAGCAACCAATCAGTCTTTACTATATTGAAGTCAGACAAGTACAAAAAGAATTGTGATTCATTGCTATAAGTTACTGAAATTAAGCATGAGAAATATATTGCATTAGAAAAGAAAACTATTGGCCCTGAAAAAAACCTATTTATATGAGGTAATAAAAGAAAACAGACATCAATTATTCCCGCTGCTTTAATGAGTCAATATGATTTAAAATAGATTTGCAACCATTTAATTGAAACCAATATTAAATGCTAAGCATCACTACAAAGTTCATCCAATATCATCTAAACAACAACATGGCTGTAAATGCAATAACTCCAACTCTTAGTATGCTGCCAATGCGCAAGCATTCCAGGGATATTAGATGTAATCCAGGCATCAACAGTCATATATATAAAGTTGTCATTAGAGATCATCAGTGATTGTGCTGCAAGCAAACACTGAAATCCACTGTACAAGAACTAACAACTATGTTTTTTCATGTTGGAGAGTCTTTACAAAACAGTTACATAAGAACTTCTTTCAGAAGAACATTCCATTAAAAATATTTCAGGACTGGGAGATCTCCTGTCTATCTTTAGTAATATTATATTGGATGTCCTCAAAATCTCTGCAAAGTGTTCAAACTAAATTAAAAAAAAAACGCATTACTTTACAGTGGTGCTCCTAAAAGCCCAAAACATATGTAGCAGTAGTAATTGGCACATATGCTCATATGGGATAATTAGTTCTTTAATTCAGTTGGAAGTACTGAAGTTATGAAAAATATTATTTAACCTTTAGTGTTCCTTTTGCATGAAATAACAATAACAATTACGCCACTGGAACTCGACAATGGGAATATCTGTAGTCTAGGTTACAACTACTGTATATCTGTTAGATTTTGTTAGAGTGCTTTGGAAATTCTGAAGTACATTTGTGGCCAGAGTATGGACATGAAATCGTTTTCATAATTTTAACAAGAAGTAAATTAGATTTAGACAAACCCTCCCTGACCTCTGTAGCTAAAAGCTCAATGGAGTAATTCACAATCAAAATCACAACAGGGACACCTCACAGTCAGTTTCTGAACATTTTACAGCTCCTGCTGTTTATTTAAATGAGAAGGCAGGCCAACTGCTGCCAGAGAAAGCAAGAGAGTGTAATCCGCATGCCACTGTTATGTACTTCAGAGATTAACTTCTCCAGAGTGGCTGCAGCTACAGGTCAGCAAGGACTTGTATTAAAGCCTATTTATGGCTTGTTAACAATTTGAAAATATTTGAATGTCTACAGCCTGGCAACATGTTCACTTTAACCTTCGACAGGGTTTTTGACATAAGAGGAGAGCCAATAGTGGATGGAAGAACACAGAAGACTGTCATGGTCTTTTTAAACATTACTTTCTTGAATCTGTGACCAAAGAGTAGTTGCCATTTATTTCTAATATAACCCTGTTGAAAATCATGTATGCTTTATTTGTACCTTTTCAGCACTGTGGTGGATGGATAAGGATTCTACTAGACTGCATTATACGTCTACCTGGAAAGGGAGTAGCAATTACCTGCTCCCATGAAAGATAATGTCCTTTCCCCCCATTTCTCTGGTAACTTTCTAGGGCACCTGTGGAAAACCCTGATGCTGGTTGGTATCAGGATGGTGTTTTGAGAGGAAGGCCTCTTTTATTTTTTTATTCTGCACCCTTATGAAAAACCTCTAGTGCATACGGGCTGATAAAAATGTTCCTAAACACTTATGGCCCTTGAGCCATGGGTTTACTAGCCTATGTGCATGGTGTACTGGAATTATGTCATTTAAGAGCAGGGTAACCACACTTTTTTGGAACCCTGTTAAAAATAAAATACACACACACACATAATGTACATAAAAAACAGCCTGGTTGTGGTAAATGCTAGTGGATTAGTGTTGGATTGGGTGACCTGGTATATTAATGTAATCATTTCAAATCATAAGTGATTCAGTAGTATTTATACATAGGAACAAAATAGTGCATTGTACAGGTGATTTTTAATCATAAAATGTTCCAGTTTTCCATAAAAATGGTTGCTTTTAGCTTTTTCCCAGACAGACTACAGCCAAGAAAAAAAACTAGAATTTATGAATGCAATAACTTTATTCCCTTCTATTCTATATAATAAATATAATAATAACCATAATAAAATACATATGTCGCTCTCTTTATATAAAGACGATATTAAAATAATTGGAATTACACTGAAGGACTGATAAACAACAGATTAAGCCCTTATTTGGGATTCCAAATGAAAGTCATATTGTACCTAACAAAAGGGCATTAAAAAAAACCTTTCAGAATGACCTATAACAATATAAAAAAATAACAGATTTTACAGTAAATTAAACAATAAAGCGAATGATCAAATGTTGCAAAGCTGAGATTAAAATAGGCAATATATCAGGAAAGAAACTCCAAATAACAATTACCAAAACATCATGTTTAACTTATGATACAAAGGCCGTCCGTGGCAAAATAAATAATATTTAGGTCATATATACAATAAATATAATAATAAATGGACCACTCTTTCCTCCACATACTCGCCAAGGCAGGTTCTGGTGGTTTATATATATTAAATAATCCAGTTGCAATCATAAATATTGTCAGGACTAGAAGTGTATCTAAACTTAAGAGCAAACATGACTCTGCATAATTACATTGATTCAGCTTGGCTCAATGTAATTATGCATATGGCTTCTGTGTCCACTGAGGATACTGTAAAACACAGTAGTAGTCAAAACTACTACTGTACTGGCTGTGATCTACCAGATTTTAGTACTGTGCAGTGCTGAGCAACTAACCTCCTGCTCTGAAAACACAAGGGGTTGCTCATTTGGAAGTAGCCAGGACTGTTATGTCAGTATCTATAAGTGTCATTTTAGACAAGATTGACTACATTTTGACAGCCACTCCTGCTGTATAGTACAAAGCAATTACCAGCTGACACTTTGACAGATGGCAATTGCCGGTTATAGTGGTGGCAGGGGAAGAGGAGGATTGAGATTTCTTGAAATGTAATAATCAAATCAAAACAAGCATAGCTAGGTAGTTAGGTTTAGGGAACCATAAACCTACAAATAAAAAACACAGATGCCAAACCAGGATTACATCTTCAAGACTATGTTCAGATTTTCCAAATTTTAACAAAAAATTAAATGTATCCCTACTTACCACTGTGTTCTAGATCTGAACAGTGTGTTAGTGGGTCACCATTTCTGATATCTTGCCGTCTTGTACGCCTATCATTTGGAAACAATAAATATTTAGTGCTTTTGGTCAAAGAATGGAGAAAAATTCAGTTAGCTTTTTTAATGGTATGGTCATGTTACATTCTCTCTTACACCTTTCTCCTGTAGCACTACTGCAGGCACAATATTTAAAGGAATGCAATTTTTATTGTTTCACTTTAAGTGATGTTAAAATCACTGCTCCTTTAAAAAATTTTTTTTTTTTTTAATACATGTCCCCCAGGGCAGTACCCAAATCCCCATACATTTTTATGGCCAATCACTTGAATATAAGCCTTCAAAATGTGGTCAATGGATTTTCAAAGATCTGCCCCCATAGACTTGCATTGCGTTTGAGTTCAAACTTTTTCCATGTCCGAAAGTTCAAATTCAAACTGAACAGGGGGGTGTTTGGCCCATCACTACTTAGGACAGCTCTGAATGGTCAGTTTACCCAAAAGACAAATTTTGCCTACACATTGGACTGGGTCACCTGCTAGCTGCTTGAGTTGTCCAGAGATGAGATCTCCACTATAAGTTGTTGCTCTGTTCCTCACCACCTATGGTTTTATTCCTGCTGCTTTAACATGTTTCTCCCACTTCTACTGCTTTATTCTTCATAAAATGATATACATTTAAAAACATAACCAGGGTGAGAGGATTCCACTTTATAACCAGCAGAATTGCAGGCCTGGGAATGTATTTGATGACTTTAGCAATGCAACATCTTCAGCTTTGCCAGCAGTGACTACAGCAACAAAAACATGCAGCCTGCATGCAGTGTTTGAAGACTTCTGGACAGTCATTTCTATAACTAGAGCTTGCTATCTGCACAAGCTGCAGCACACGAGGCATGGGCTGGTCTTAACCTGGCCTTTATTCTATATGAGCCAGCCTGAGGCAGACAATACCAATTTGTCTGCAACATGTGGATACCTGCAGCAATGTATAGACAAGTTAGCAAGAGTAAAACATCAGTACTAGAGCCCATGAGAGACATACACATGCTTTACATGAAATGCCAACTCTCTGGCATCTCCCAAACACTGAAATATCACTTTATAGACTGTTTAAGACACCTAATACATTGGTAAATCTCAGTTTTGTTAAGATTTTCACACTCTTCTACCAATAGGTAATATGTTCCTTCAACTACAGATCACTTTCTTATAGGTGTCTGTGAAGCTTCTCATTCATCCAGGTCATGGTATATCTGTAAAAAAATAAGTTAAGGAAAAAATACAGCAAGTACAGTTGCCTTGACTTATTGTTTTACAGATTTCCAATAGGTGCACAGTAAAAGCATCACTCCTTTTCACTTTTGACTAGTCGAGGAAATAATAGTGGTAGCTGCAATTTTCCAACATGCTGGAACATTTTAGATTAAATGCTGCATACAAATATTGGATTCCAGTGGGGATTATCACTCTCAAATACATTTACCAGTGGACAAAAGTAGGTAATATATGGCCTATATTACTAACGAAAAACATTTTGGCTGAATAGACAAGTGACAACTGTTCAGCCATTTTTGTAGAAAGTAAGTTATTAGACAGTTATGCATAACATTGCTATCCACATTTTCTGCTGTAACATATGGGCCTACACTGTCCTTATCAATTTAATTCACAAATAATTATTTTATTTTTATAAGAACAAGTTAAATACAAAACATATTATTTGGCCAAGTGAGTGCATTTTAAGTCATAATTGCAGACTCTCTCAAAGGGAATGTTCTTTCAAAAATGCATGCAACTCACCGAGTGCGTTCAGGCAGTTACACATTTTATATAGCGGATCTAGACAAGTGTTCCTTGTCATCCATTGTCATGTAATAGTCTTTATCAAGTCCTTTATACATCTAATAACATGTTGCACAGGGATCGATAGATTCTGTTCAGAATACGTTTATTGGGAAAGTGTACGCAGCTCCTTCCATGCCAATTGGAAATATTGATTTAAGTTACATCTCAAGCTGTGACTGCTGATGCTTTGTTCAATAAGACACAGAAGCATTGTCAAGATGGTATTTTGCTTTTTCTTGCAGTTCCACAGAATTTAAAGTGGCCTCATTATCTTAAAGATTACAAGACTCTGAGAAACTTTTTCTTTGAGCCTTATTTCTTGCTACTTACATAACCATTGTTTGCATTCAGTAAAGCAGAACTTGGAAAGGAAATGCATAACTAAATACTTTCTAGCATTTTTGGCATTTATATAATAGCAACCATAAAGAAGGTCATATGCATAAACATTGATGTCTGTTTTTGCCAAAACATATTTTGGGTAGCCATAGCTAAGAAAACTCAATAACCAAAATCTTGAAATAAGAAGGAAAGAATGTAAAACAATCCTAGTAAAACCAAGACAAACAGAAACAATCAACTAAGGGTTTATTGAAAGAAAAAATGCTCCAAAACAGTACGAGGTTGAATATAAAATGAGAAATACAGAAAATGTGACTAGTTTTGTATAAAACTCTTATTTTAGTTTATGTGGATGTTGATGGGCTAAAATCGCCCACCAGCTTTGTATTTGTTTCTGGTACCTATAAGGTAAGCTCTCTTCACTCGGTACCCAGCTTCACTAACTCCTGAAGCTACAATTAAGGTTTTTTCAGTCTCGTCACTGAATCCTCCATGTATTTAAAGTTGAAATCCAGGCAGATATAAAAGATACATATTAATGCAGTTCTGTATCCATTATACGTCATTAAATTTATTTTTTAAATACAAGCAATGTAAGTACCGGAAATTGACTTGACATCAACCTCTTGCAATCCCTGTACAGCAGAGCGCAGACTGGAAAAGGAAAACACAGCAAAAGGGAGCCAGCCAGTTGTACTACACTGGTCAAGTGCTAACAAGGAACATACCAATAAGAGGAGAGATCAGAGTGACAGAGAGATAAACTTATCAGTCTGTTGTATCTCCTTACATTGTCCAGTCACAGGATGGAAATGGACAAGACCTGTAAGTGTAACTGCAGCAAAGAAATATCAAGTCTCAGAGTTATGCAAGTCGTGTGACTGTGTGAACAGGAATACAAATACTTTTTTTAGATAAAATATCTCTTTTATAGACATGTGAGTTATGTATTTAGCTGCTAGCCTGGAGTGTAGCTCTCATAATAGGAGAACACAGCAAGAATGAGACAGTCCTGCCTTAATAATGACAGTGTAGGGGGCATACTCTACAGCAGGGGTAGCCAAACCCCGGCCCTCCAGCTGTGGTGGAACTACAAATCCCATGAGGCTTTGCAAAATTCTCACAGCCACAGACCGGAGGGCCGGAGTTTGGCAACCCCTGCTGTACAGAATACTGCTGCTGGAACCTTTGGACAAAACTGCAGTCAGTGATACAAACATCTTTCTGCCAAACCTGCAATATCATTTCAGCGTAAATGTGACCACCAAATGTAAATACAGCATTTAGGAATGGTGCTTTTTTTTAATACTTCCTCAAAATAGTAGATTTAATACCTGCATATTTTGAATAGTATTACAGTGCATATGTGATGTTCATCATAATAACCACTATAACCACTATAACATGTTTGCAAAAATCAATCCATTCTTTATTAGTTGTTATATAAGAACATATCTTCCTTATTTATTTATTTGGACTATGCACTGCCAGGACTTCATTCACAAATAAAAGCTGAGCACACAAAGCTTGGTCTAAATGGCAAAATGTCATTGTGGAAAACTGCTAGAGGATTTGCAAAGTCAGGACACAGCAAAGGGGATTAGTCTCCAAACAGAGCTGTAAATCCGCTTCTAATCATCTCACTCAGCTTCCTGTATACAAAAGTCAAGTATTCTTGGTGTAGAGACACTTGGTTGCATCAGTCATGTCAGCTGTTATAGAGGAATAATCAGTTATTTTCTGCTGGGGATCAAAGTAATTTCATACAAAGGCTGAAAAGGGAGTGCAGGGTGTCTTCCATGTCTTGGAAGGATGTTTATTGAATAGATTACTTACAGTCTACTCTGTGCAGGCTAAGAACAGATTGCTAAATTGCATAGAGGTGATTCAATTTGTTCAAGGACATTTTCAATAGAAAGCAATAACATTTGAATGCAAGAGCCCCTTACAAATCTGATTGTTTTCATAAGCAGTGCATTCATTTGTTCTATTAAAAGCCACAGCTGACTGTGGCTATGCAACATTTCTAACATAAAATAAACAACTGCACATGGGAGGCTTTTTTTCAAAATAATTTTGGAGTTTATTTTTTTAAAGAACAGGGCTGGGAAAATCTACAGACCTATTTATAGAACTAACAAATATATCAAACAAATGTCAAGTGTGAAAACTAAGTCAGCAGATGAGATTATGAAATTTGAGCCACCGATCATGTTCATGTTATTAAGTGGTAACTTTGTATCTTCTCAACTGTTGTCGGAGCTCTTTGAAATTTAGTGAATGAAAGGAGGCTTGCATAACTTTGTCTCGAAGAACCGAGGTACTGCAATTATGTAATAATGTTTTAATAAAGGGTTATTAAACCCTCACATGTTTTTGCAGATATCGACTGCTAGCAAGCAGTAGATATATGCAAATTTTTTTTTTAACGGTTTCAAAGAGTTAATACTTACCTGTGTCTCCACGGCACGCTCCCGTCCGAACATCTGAAAATTTCTCGGGCAGCAGCAAAGGATCTTGGGGCGGGTGCATGCACAGTTCAAATGTTTGGCCAGGAGATGAGAAGAGACACAAGGTAAGTATATGGAGCAGCGTGCACCTGCACAGACTCCGTGGGACATGAGAGAAGAGGAGGACAGAGGAGTTAGCACTGGATCGGAGACCCGCACCAGCGCTGGAGTGACATCTGCAAATGACACAGTTCCTCCACAATAATTTATCTTAGTGTATCATGTTGATGATGAGGACACTAGTAAACATAATAATTAGGCACTATACAGTTCCTCCAAAATAACGTTGCTTAGTGTATCATGTTGATGATGATGGCAGTAGTAAACATAAAATTAGAGACTAGAGGAAGATCATGAAAATCAGAGTTTGGTCCATATCACTCTAATGCACAGGATTAGGAGGTGCATGTTCAAACATTTGCTAATCTTTACTTATATATTTTAAGGGGAAAAAGACACTCTCAGATGTTATGTGTTTACATTCATTTTTGATCACACTGAAACACTTGTTTTTATCACATGTTTTTTAAATATGTTTGTTCACGTAAAATAATAATAAATGTAATTATTATTAGAAGTGTGCACAATGCTTAATGAAGTCAGGCTTATGAAAAAGTAAAGCATTTAAAAGAGAACTATGAGGTAAGTGATTTCCCCTCATCCTCATAGTTAGAGCCGACCTGTGACAAAGAAGCTGTCCCAGGTCGGCTCTATCGACCAGGAAGGGAGCAGAAACATGCAGCCGATCCGCTCACTTGCTGATCGTCTCCCTGCAATGAGCAGTGACTGTCATTCACCGCTCCCCACAGTGTTTTCCCCCTCCCCTATCTGATTCTCCAGCACTGAGTGGAGGAACGAATGGGGGAGGGGGTGGACACAGCTGGCTCTGCCTCTTGACAGGCAGAGCCAGCTGTCACTCAAGTAGCTGGGTGGATCTTGAATGTATTGTCGGGATCCATCTCAGCTGTGGAGCTGCAGACAATAGCCCACGATATACTGAGCTTTGGGTCACGGGAGGAGGTTAGTAAATGTCCTCCTGTGACCCTAAAGAGAACTATGAGGAAAAACACTTACCCCATAATTCTCTTTTAACTTTGTTTTTTTACCTATTATTTGACAGAGATGCAACCCCACGCCAACCTCTCCTTACCCAACAGCGTGCTTGGGGGACACTGACTGCTTTGTTGGGTGGCAAAAGTTATTCAGATTTTAGAAGTCATGCAACATGCCTTCTGCACAGAGATCCATTGAAAAAAAAACCCATAATCCAACACATTACTTTTATAATAAACCTACTTTATTTAACCCACACAAATTGAACCCATAGTTTTTCTAAGAAATACTAATCTGAGCACTTCATTTCACTGACAGAGGATAAATATGCAGCAAGGAAGAGCAAAGTCAGACCTTCTGTTCTGCATGCATTACTGTGTCCATAGGTCAGGAAATACTGACTTCATTAGATTAGAATGGCAACCAAGCAACTAGTATTTCCTAAAGGCAAACTCAGCACTCACAACCTACATTTTCACTCAGCACCTATTCCTCCTTTTAAAGTTGGGAAATCCTTAAACCTTTCACATAAAAAACATTTTCAACCAAATCTTGCTTGACTATTGGTAAACCAGGGGGAAATCTCAACCCCTCATATGTGCAATTAATGTGCTAACCTCTAAGTTATTATGATTATTATTCCTAATACTACTGCTACTGTTGTCTTCAAGAAAATAAAGACAATTCCAAGGCAAAAGGATGTATGTATGTTCAAGACACTGTATCTCATGCCACAAAATAAAAACTTAATACATACCATCTGCCTTCTTTTGCTTTTTCTCTTATGGCCATAGCACCATATGTTATGGAGATTATGACATGTCAGAAGAATGTAAAAGAGGCACACAATGTAATACTCAACAGTCTAATACAATAAGCAGTATGTCTTAAAGGTTATCACCTTTTAGCAGTTGGAAAGTAGCGGGAGCATGAAGAACCATCCCAGGCACAATAGGGGTCCCTGGCAAGACAACATTCAGCACATGCTTTTCCATAAACATCACAGCGGTGTAAAGGGAGCTGGGAAACTCCATCAGGGGAGCCAATGTACAGTTGTTGCTGTAAAGTGGACATTGTAAAAAAAATAAAATATTGGTTAAGTAAACTGCATGTTTAAATACAATTTCTCTGCTGCTGAAATTGTGAAATTAATTACTGAAGATTTGAGAACATTTTACTCATTTTGAATTAAATATATTGAGACACTACAAGTATTAAAGATGGGAAAATAACAGGTCTTGCAATTTTTTTAATTCCATGAATTCTAACACACAAACGTCAGTGTTTTTTTTTTTACAGTCAATATCAATGTGAGAGAAAAACATTACTTCAGGTGAGCTAAATTTAAAATATACAGATTTTTTGCATAGACAAACACTTTATTCTGCACAGTTGTATATCTCCTAAATAGGATTTCACGAAGCTTTTAGCAAGCTTTTAGCAATCTTTAGGAGCTTTAAAAAAAACCACTTCCAGTACCAGTCTGAGAATGTTAAATACTTAAACAAGTTTCTAGCAGGCTTCAGAAGGATTTCAACAAGCTTCAAAAAGTCTGAAACCTTACTGAAGCCTGCTAGCAACTTGTTAAAAGTGAGTTATCCTTCCTAAACTGCAGCTGTATGGTTCTTTAAAGAGAAAAGGGTTCCATAAAGCTTGCCAAAAGCTCTGCAAATTTGTAAAAGCTTGCTCTTATACAAGCTGAAGTCTATGTGAAATAGGCTCCCTTCACACCAGCCCTCTTGTACCATCATCCTTTATGCTGCAGACTAGTGATGAGTGAACTAAGCAAAGTTTTGTTCACTAAACTACACTGAAGACTTGGAAAAAAAATCAGCAAACCCTGAACATACAACCCAAACCCCATGGAAGGCTATGAAAGTAAATCTTTAGTCCTGTTTCAAAGCCAATTTGTGAGCTTTTGTTCAAAAAAAGGCATGGGTAGCTGGGCACTGCTATGTAGGACATGTACCAATGCAAAAAAAATAATACTGTTCAATAGGAGTGGGTCTTTTAATGTGGCTTAAAGGGCAACATTACAAAATATTCCTGAGGATGCATCAAACCATCACGTGAAGTGGTTCACTTGTACAATGTACTTCTGAAAAAGTCTTGGGTGCCTCACAAAATCAATTTTACACCATCATACAGACATACAGCTTAGCTGGCCAGGAAAGGGGGGCCAGTCTGTGTGTGCCCCCCAAACCTTACCAGACCCCATGCCCTCAACATAGGAAGGGTACCTTGCCAGAGGCCCGCTCTTGGCAAGGTGCCTTTCCCCCATGTTGATGGGGACAAGGGCCTTATTCCCACATCCCTGGCCCGGACTTCTGGAAAACCCTTCAAAATAAGGGGACTTCAAGATTTTGATCCATCCGCCCTTAGTAAATAAAAGGTACAGAGTAAATAGTACCTTTAATGTAATGTAAATAGGCTATCACACCCACACCATAAGAAAATTCCTTTAACCACTTGAAGACCGGGGGTGTTTCACCCCCTTCCTGGCCAGGCCATTTTTCAGTATTCAGCGCTGTGGTACTTTGACTGACGTTTATTCTGTCAGGCAATGCTGTACTGATACAAATTTCATACCATTTTTTGGGGACAGATAGACCTTTCTTTTGGTGGTATTTTTTACTATATAACAAAAAAAGTACCCTAAATTTTGAAAAAAAACATGTTTCCCTATAAAATGTTATGAAACATTTATTTTCACCCAAATTTTTTGGCATAATATAAAAGACGGGGTCACGTCGGGTAAATAGACACTAAACATGTCAACCTTTAAAATTGCGCGCACTCGCGAAATCGCAGAAAACAACCGCAACCAAAATTGGCCATAGGCGACACTTTAAACGTTTTTACCGCTCATCAGTTTAGTGTTATCAGTGATTGATGGCCCTAAAATTATTGCTCTCACTCCGACGTTCGCGGCGATATGTAACATGTGCGCAATGTAATGGGCGCAATCGTCGTTTTCGTACATAGGCGCACCCGACGCATGTTTGCATGTGTATGTGGGGGGGGCGGGGTACTTTAAAACATTTTTTGTGGGGGCGTGGCCAACCGTGGTGGAAGATGGCCGCATAGAAAAAGAGCTCAGGATTCGTTTCCACAGCAGAGATCGGATCATGGACCGGCAGCGGCGACGAGGAGACGAGGGCGCACACCTGCAGCTCCTGCAAGCGATCGGGCGTCTCTAGAGATGCCTGATCGCTTGTATGTAAACAGCCATCGCTGGCTGTTTACATGCTCACAGACGTCTTAAGCCGCCCTCCCGCTCCTAGCAGACTCCCGTCCTGCCGTTCACAAACGGCCATGGACGGAAGGTGGTTAATAAAGGAAAAAAGTCCCACAATATAATTCCAATGTCCATCAAGTCATCCAGTAATGTAGATCCATAATCAATGAAAATGAACGACACCCGATGACATAAACACAACAACCTACCCATCATAAAACTTTTGCACATGACAGTTTCCTGTTACTGCTGAAATTTAAACAGCAGTACTAAGAACCTGGATGATGCCATTCACCATGTTTGACTTCTTACAAGTTTCCCAGCAGCATGTTTACAATAGTCTTTTAGTTACACAGTAATACAAATTATAAATAATGAATGAATAACTTCTGGGTAAAGCAGCTGGTGGTTCAGGATGGTGAACTGGACAAATCTGGCCATTTAGTTCACCCATTCAGCAAAATTAATTAAACAGCTAGAGTTTGGTTTGAACTCATCTACTGCAGGCAAAGAAAGCCCCATTGAAATATATTGGCAACAAAAAATAATGATCCTCGTTACATTAGTGGTAAAAAAAGTATATATGTTAAAATAACTAAGCAAAAAATATTTTTATGATAGCTATATTTTCATGGAATGTGATAAAAGTAATTTTCACTATAGCCATTTGAACTAGTCTTAGAAGAACAATAATGTAATTATGCTAGTTTTATTAAACATGCTTTAAAGAAAATGCCAAATGTACTCAGCAATTGAATCCAGTGTCTGGAAAGCATGATATACATTTTCCATCAGCATAGGAGAAGCAATGAATCTAAGACTTTTAAAGGCAGAAAGTCAGCAGGCTTGTAGCTTTTTTCTGTGTTTCCGGGGTTATGCAAAGTATATAGATTTTGATGCATTTAACTGTACTTCTGCCAGCACAACAGATCCTTCCCCCATCTCAAATAAAACATGTTTCTTTGCCAAACACAATTAACTCAAACAGACAGAAAAAAGAGCCCATATGCTTTGCACAAGCTGTTTCCAAACTGCACTGTAGCATTTGTTTAAATGTCTGTAATACGCTTCCATAACAATGTGCACAAGCACAAATATTCAGCTGAAATTGTATGCCATAAAAATAATTCCCTCTAAAGCTTAATATGTGATCATTTGTATTGTGCGACAGCATACAAACTACGTGACAGCTTCACCATTATCTTCATTTAAAATAAATTCTTTGCTGCATTGTTTTGGCTATGTATTATGCATAACTTCATCTGGAATTCGAGAAAACTGCATTTGAGCGTGAAAAGAAACTATCAAGGGATGGCAAAACATTTAATGTCTAACTTTAAGTTTTGCTTTCCAAGTTTAAAAATACATAGATAAATAGGCTACATTTACAGTTAAAGATTTAACAGAACATATGTAAAAGGTGGCAATGCATTCCATTCTATACAAAACTAGTCTATGTTCTTAACCATGATTCATAATCGTACTGCCTTATGTTATTCTGTAAGTAGGTTGCTGCTTTATCTCCTGATAAAGGGGATATTTGTATGAGCCCCCGAAATGCGTTGGCTATTTCTTTACTCTTCCCTTAACCCTACATTGAATAAAAATGTATCTTGACTATTAAAAGGAATGTGGTGTTTCAATTAATAATCTTGCATGTTATTCTGTTATCCAGGGTGAGCAGTCTGAAATTAAACCCATTTTATTATAAAAATATGCTAAACCATGTCTAAAACAAATTGTGCTTTAACCCATAACAATCCATCAGAAGTCATCTCTCATATCTGACTGCCATATCCCAAAATAGCTGGTCGCTGTGGGTTACTACAGTGCATCCTTACTGCTATCTGAATTATTTAGGATAATCTGTCACAAAACTAAGATCCTAGGATAATATAACACTGTACTAATTAGAAAAAGTACTATTTCCAAAAAGGTTGGTATTGGCCGGATTTACAACACAACAAAGTACACTGTAGAAGCAGCCATCATGAAAAATAATTGTCTGCAGTTCCTGATGCATACTATAGTAGGACTGAAAGCTCGCTACTCTAGGCAGCTATGCAAAGAGAGTCAAAGATTTTTTTAAAAGGTGTCACAACTCCTGCTGATTAATCTGCAGTAGAACTAAAAATCAAATCCATTTCAGTCCGCTATGCCAACCTTATTTATGACAGACTAATTGTAAAGTGCACTAGTGCCAATGCTAAACCTTTAAAACTGCAATTCATAATATAAAGCAGGGACCTGCATATCTTTTGTGAATCCTTTAAGAACATCCCAGGAACCCAGAAACTGTAGAGCTTTAATGCACACATAGCAATCAACTTTCCTGGTCTCCAGCTCACTTACCACCTCACTATAATCCTTTCACTGTGATAGGTGTTCTCACTATACAATAATGAAGTACAGAAGCCACGAGGGAGCATGTAGAGCTGGTGACAATAGAAGCAAGTTACATAACAAGTTGCCAATGGTTTTCGCTGCAGTATATCAGACTTAGCCAGTTGGCAGTTTTATAGCTTAGCTTTAACCCCTTCATGACTAAGCTTGTTTTTTGTTTCTGTTCGTAATTGACTGACACACTTTTGACATTTTTGCTGTGTGATTCTTCCACGTCAGTAATGTACTTTCTTACAAAGTGCACCCCCCACATATTATATATTGTTTTTTAGAGGACAGATCAGACTATATATTTATATCACATATATGTACCTAATGCCTTACTTAGGACAAATAAAATCTTAAAAATAGGAAAAAGCGTAAAGAAAACACTTTTTTTCCCAGTTTTGATTTGTAATATTTTTTTAGAAAAACAGCATAGCTAAAAAAAAACTCACATTCCTAGGATTTTAGACATTTTTCTGTACTTCTCGGTCTAAAACTAACACCTAACCTTTTAATCTTTTTTTCTCTAAAAGCTAATAGTGGTCACCTGGCATACAATGTCACTGTCACTAAGTGTCACACTTAGTGACAGCGACATACTTTGAACATCACTGTCATGAGGGGGTTAAAAAAATTAACCCCTTAGAGTGAAAAACAAAGCTGCAGCTCAGGTGCAGATTTTCATTAGTGAATAGACCCCATAGTTTTCTTTGTGACATGATAGACTTGCTTCAGTAAAGGATGAATGTTTATCACAGTTGGAGTGCTGGTGACTCTTTTCTCCATTGCATGTTTCAGGTTACAGCCTGAATATAGCTGTAGCATGAAACATGGTAAGAAAGATGGAGTTAGTCTTTAAAAAAAAAAAAAAAACATATTGTACTTTCGCTGGGAAAAGTAAAAATCTGAAAACACTATGGTTAAATAAAGCAATGAATTATTGTTAATATTATTTATTCAGTTAAATATAAGTAAACTAGATGCACCTTTAAATTTGTTATACTTTAGAACATAGCTAAATGCCAGTTTAGGTATCCAACAAGACGCTGACCTACGTTTTGTCTAGTAACTGACATATTTTGCTATGGCACTACAGAAATATAGTAAGTCATTTAAAAGCTACTGCATACTTGCTTTGTGGAAATCTCCATGGCTGTAATAGCAGTAGGCTCCTGTAGAGAGAAGAGAAACCCAGGTTAGCATAAAATAACTTTTGCTTCGAACCAGAGGACACAATGGAGTTTATGTAACAAAACTAGGAAGGTGATCCCAATTCTAGACAGCCAAACTGTAGATATTCAAAACTGCACTAGAAACATAACAGCTGGAGTCTAGCTGGATGCTGTGAGGAACACGTCACGGTTTACCCATTTTTTTATATACCAAACCCAATTTGTCTTGCTACTTTATTAAAACAAATATTGTAAAAACAATATTTTTTTCCAATGATGGAGCTGTTTAAATTATTTAAGCCCAACTCTAGACTTCCCCCAGTCTTTCCTCTCACCTACTGGAAGACTACCAGTAGTATGTTTTTTCTTTTATATATATACTTTTCCAGATGTATTCAGGCCAGACATACAGGGTTTTCTTTCTCTGTGGCCCTTGTAGTGGGCAGTGCTTAGTAGTGCATAGAGTGGCACTGACATGATTATGTCAGTGCCATTCCTTGCATCATTGCATGGTAATGCATGGTGCCATGGTGACGCCTCCTTAGGGAGTGGGTCCATGGCGCCCTTTTCTCACAGTATGTTCTTAGTCTTCTAGGTGTCTAAATGACAATGTGTGTAATTCAACCCAGAAGACAAAACACATCTAGTGGTGGAAAGGAATTGCTGCAGGTGGGATGTGTATTGCAGCCAGAGCTGCCTTTTTAAAAAAAATGAGAGTTGGGCTTTAAATTCCACTTTTACCAATGTTTTCACCATTTTAAATGAAATGGTTAATAATATGCAGACTAGCTAATCTCCTAAACCAGAATATTTTTTTTTGTGCCTATCCTGCGTTAAAGTCATAGGGAGTCAGTGGAAAATACTCCCAACAGTAACTACTCTGACATCCAAATGTTTCCATATATTTTAGACTTTTTTCCATTGGGTCCTTTAAGCAGTAGGTTGTTTTCCTGAAAAAAAAAAGATTGGGCTTGTGCAATTTAGCCAGCTTTGATACAAATAAGTTATTTTTTTAAGCTGAACTCAAGGTAGGTGGCAAAATACACAGCTAAATGCAGTGAATGCAAATTAACTGCTATACCTAGCAGTAGATTTGTAATTCTGCTTAATTTTGCTACAGGCACTCCTGTAGTACAGCACAGTCAGGTCTTTGATCTCCATTTCAGCAGTACAGCTTGGTCTAGAATACACCCACTGCCTGCTGACTAGACAATGAAGAAGCAGCAATTTCACTCTCTGTTTTTTAATCTAAAAACAGGGACATTGATGCCATATATTGATTGCAGCCTAGTCTGAATGCCTCAAATGTACTGTAATAATTAATAAATATATAAATGTAATAACTTATCACGTATTACATGACCGCATACATTGCTATTTTTTATGTCTGCCCGGAGTTTAGCTTTATGTATAGCAGATACTATATGCAAATTGCTGTAACAAGTCATTTGCAAGTCATATTTGCTAAACAATACATTTCAAAGAATAGAGGACAATACACTATACAAGACCTAATAAAAGTGTTGAAAGTTTCTCCAATACATTGTTAATTTTTTACAAGCCTGGGCACAAAACTGTTTGCCCCACCATTGGTCCATCTTGCAGAAAACCAATTACTTTCTGCTAAAAATAAGTGATAATTATTATAAAGATCAGAAGCTACAAATGCATCTAGGTTTTGTTACTATGACAACTATTTAACACAATGCATAACAAGAGCGGTTCATTCTTTTATGTTCATGCCTGTAAAACAACATAAAATCGATCCAGTTGATGTAAAATATATGTTAACTATGTTGCAACACAAAAATGCTTTGGTGTTATTGTAATAAAGAACCATAGCATGTGATGTATTAAAATCTGACCATGAATCATTTCAATCTAATAAAGAATAAAGCAATTATATGTACAAGCAGCAAACATATCTGTTACTTTGCTCCATGTAAAACAGAATGAGATCTGGTAAGAAAAGCTGAAAACTTTTACAGCATTATCATCAATCTTGCTGAATTACAAGCAATATTAGGACAGAGAACAAAAGCAAATGGGTCAAGATATGTAACACCAGATTCAGGCCTGTGTATCTATTTCACCACACATTAATGCATGAAACAGACTATGGGGTTTTTAATTGTAAATGGCACCCCAATGCACCTTGCAGGCAGGCACTGTGCATTTCAGTGTACAACCATCTGTGAACCATCTATGCACTGTGGCATTCTGTGTTGAGAAACAATATTGTAAACCTTATAAGATAGTGCAGAATTTTACAATCCAGCCCGCTATAGCCCCAAAGGCCTGCTTCTAACAAAATGGTTTCTACATATGTTTAAGATCACTCTGGTCTTTACCTGACTATATGATCTGAATCAAAGGCTGAACTGGTCATATTTAGGAATAATAATACGTATAGCAGCAAGGAACTGGGGGTGATGGAATTTTACACTTTAAACAGACTTTCATAAATCTATATTACTTTAATTTTTGGTTGCCAGATATTGTGCTACATATCTGGCATTGGAACTCAGATAACCAGATAATGAGAAATAAACCATTTCAGCATGAACCACCAAAAGCGAATATCTGCACTGGGCAAATTGTGGCTTTTTGGATACTGCATCAATTTGGCTCAACTCCTGCACTCAAAGTACAAGAGCATGTTTTTTTGCAAGAAACAGGTCTCCTAAGGATGTTGCTCAGAAACATGCAGCTTCACCCTGGGTAAAACCAGCCACATTTATTTTTTGCATAATTCTTGCTCTCATTTGAGCACAGAAGGGCATCTTCAGATTATATATTCACAGGGAGCATTATTTGCAGTAGAAATCATTGATTGTACTCACCCTGAATACTGTCATTTCTTCCAAAAGGACTTCTTCCAAGTCATGCCAAGTTTCCTTGGGAACAGAAACCACCTTTAGCACTGTCCCCATATCTGAGGAAGGGAGAATAAAGATGAACAAAGTATGCATGACTTGCTGATATCATAGGTGCAAGACTTACAAATAATGTATCTGATTCAGCAAGCTTATTTTTAAAAAGGGTAGTTCCTATGAGCTGTTATTAGAACCATGAACATAATCAAATGTTAATCTATTTTTCTATTTGCATTGGAGGCTTTCAAACCTAAAAATCAATCAATGTCAGCTTAATTCTTGAACATGCAGTAGCGAGGCCAAAATCAGGTAACAGTTATTAATTTCACATGTAAAAGTGTGGTTTCTGTATATTAGCAAGGAACATAGCCTGCATGAAATAAAAAGAAAATCTATTCAGATTATGTATAAAGATTTATTATTTTGCAAAAACAAATCCTATACATTGAAATGATCAGGAATGTAAGTAAAGTCATCTAGGTTCAGATGCCAAATGTTTTGCATCTCATCATTAATAATAACTACTATATACTGTATGTAAAAGCCTCATCAATATAAAAGTGGTGAACATGAAAGCCCTGTTTGTAAAGATAACATAGTGATGCCTGACCAATGACACAACAAGAGGAAAATCATAGTCTTTGGCTTTGTAGTAGTTTTACTTGTGCTACTTTACTGAAACAAACTATACTTGTTCTATTTTCTACTCCACTGAAACAAAGTATACATATTCACTTTTATTAAACCACTGAAACAAAGTACATCTGTTGAGACTTGGTCCTAACTTTCATTTACTCAACATCTCACTTTTGATCACAGAGTGGCCATTACATTTGCTAAAGTGCAAAAGGTGATCGGGAGCCAACTTCATTAGAAAAGTGGGTACAAATGCAATTGAGCACCAGAAGCTTTAGGGTGCCCAGCGTGTTTCTAGGACATAACTATGGATGAGTGAACCTGCCAAAGTTTGGTTTAGAGCTGGTTTGGTAGCCTCAACATAAAGTCTCTAACCCGAAAAATAGCTCTGAACCCTGTTTTGTTTTCCTAGTCAAGGCCAAAAGGTAAAAGTAGCTGGGTACTGCCATGGGGGATATGAACCAAAGCAAATAAATAAATAATACCCTTCAGTAGGGAGAAGGTATTTTAATGTGACCTGAAAGGCAACATTAAAAATACACAAATCCTTTAAATAACATGCTTTAGGGATGACTTAAAGTTCCAGAGCAGTATAATCTACTATTTAAAATGTTTTTTTTTTTTTCAAACAGCAGCTGGGAATCTGTCATTTGACAGCAGTACTATTACTGCTGCTAAAAGACAGATACCTACTGGCTTGTGTTTGTCAGGAAACTGGGGATCTGTCATTAAGAGTTGGTAGCACTACTGCCTCTCAATGACAGATCCCCACTGGCTTTTTTGTAAATGATTGGGCCAGGGATCCTGGGTAACATTGACCAAATATGCTCATGACTGTATTTGGTCAATAAGGATATTCACCAGCACACCTAGGTATAGTGATAATCTTGTGCTTTATTCACATAAAGCAACAGGCATCACATGCATGTGTGGTTAATGAAATCACCCAAGATCCCTGGCTCAGTGTTTAAAGTCCAGAGGTGCCAGAGAGCTAGCATCTGCAATGGAAGTAGTGACAGCAGCATCACAGTAGTGGCAGGTCAACATTAGCAGGCATTGCTCATCATAACTAAAGTGGATTAACATGGTGTGAGTGTTTTTGTTTATTTTACTATTTTGCATAAATGAGTAACAAGAGGTACTATGTACACCATACGTATTCATATGGTGGTTGAATATCTTTGACTGTCCTTATTGTAAAGGGACCCTGATTCCTTTTAGGGCAGGGGTCTAAAACCTCCGGCCCTCCAGCTGTGGTGGAACTACAAATCCCATGAGGCATTGCAAGATTCTCACAGCCTCAGAAATGACTCCCGAAGAGAGATGCATCATGGGATTTGTAGTTTCACCACAGCTGGAGGGCCGAAGGTTTGCTACCACTGCTTTTAGGGGACAGGATGTGGGCATGAGTTTTTTTTCCCCTATCAACATGGAACAAAATACCCTCCCAATGTTGAAGGCATGTGGCTTGGTTCAGGAGGTGGGTCCACACTTGCTGCCCCCGCCTTTTCTTGGCCACCCACATTTCTTGCCTGGATAAGTTTGGTTTTAATTGTAAGGGGAACGCCACCCATTTTTTTTCTTTAACAGGACAGCACCTTTTTTGTAAACAATGTATACTTTCTCTTTAAGGCACAGGGTCCCCCTAAAAGTGAATAAAAGACACTTATTCAGGCATACTTCTCTGTGGGTGGTGGTCAGGAAAGGTGGGGGGGAGCAAGAGTGCATTCCTTCTCCTGAACCATAACATGCCACATGCCCATTGGGAGGATGCCTTAGAAGGTGGGGCAGCAAAGCCTCCCCTCCTTGCAAGGCACAATGGGCATAAGAGTCTCATTGCTATATTCCATTCTCCAAAAGAGATGTGAGGGTCTGGGGAGCGGGAGCTTATTGAAATCTGGAAGCTCCCTTTATAATAAGGGAATCCCTAGATATCTATCTTCTCAGGTAAATGAGTAAGGACTTACCCCTTGCTACACGTCCACAAAAATGTAAATAACAATAAAGTAAATAATAAACACCCACACTGTAGAAAAGTCCTTTATTAAAAAATATGAATCCCCCCAGTGTAAACCAAAAGTGACAATCATGTTGTCCAGTGATGTAGGTCAATGACAATCAAGATGGGCAACGTCTAACAATGTAGACCAATCACCTCGATTGATAACGCTGCCCCACTGCTAAGGCCATCACAAATGACAGCTCTCTGACACTGCTGTAATGTAAACACTGTGCTGGAAAACCTGGCATCATTGGCTAAATATTTGGTCAATGATGTCACCCAGAATCCTGGACAGCTTGTTTACAAATTCACACAGAAGCTGGCTGGGATCTGTCATTTAGATCCGCTAGTGATAACGCTCCCAAATTATGAATTTTTGGCTACATCAGCTGGATGTTCGGGCTGGCAGGAAAACTGGCCAGAACATTTTGAACATCTTACTACACAGATTTTTTTTAATGCATTGTATTGTTTGGAACTGGTCTATACACACCATCCTGCATTTAAAGCCCAACTCCAGACACAGGGTATTTTTACTTTTTTAAAAACCTTTCAATATTTGCTATGATTCGTTAAATTCATAATTGATTTTTTACTTACATAGCTCTTACTAAGCCCCATGAGCTGGTGCTGTAAAGTACAGAGGGAGCTGCACTTCTGACTCACTGCTTTATCAGACAAGTGTCTATAATAGACACCAGCCCTAGTGTTGTGCCTCTGCCACCTCCCTCTGTTGTGCCATTTAGAAAGCGCAGTGATGATGCCATGACTGAAGTTAATAAGGGAAAATAAGTGCAAACCTATAGCAGACTATTAAATATTTTACTGGCCTAGCTATATTAAATTACACAAAAATGAATTGCTAAAAATATTTGCTAATTATTAGGGCCTTCAAAGGTATTATAAATACTTTTTTGGCAAACGTATTAGAGGGAACAGCAAAACAAATGTTGTTTTTGTCTTTGTTTTTTCAACAAAACATGGTATATATGCTACACATCCATTATGTAGGATTTTTGTGATTATGTGAATAAAAAAGATGAATGGATATTATGCAGTATCTGAAAACATTTTCAAAAAGTAAAAGTTACATTAAAAAACTTAACTTCTAAAATGTAAAACGTTAGAGTGAAAAACACATACATTTTACTTTGATCTAATGTTCCACATGTATTTATTAGTTCCTTTAATGTGGTATAATATAAAAGAGAATAGAAAGTCACATGTCACATGTACAAAAGTCCAGATAACATCTTTGTTGATCTTTGAGGGCACTTGTCAAGCTGGAGTATGGCTAAATTTACACTTCACGACCTATGCAGCTGCATGCTGGAGGCAGTTCATTAACCTTACTGTGCTACATTCCGGTCCAAAGTACAGCACTTAGTAATAATCTGACACATCCACATTTCATTGTTTTAAAGCCCTGTAAAAATGTTGTTGTCTTCTTTTATACATCTCCGAGTATAAAATGTAATGTTAAAAATGTACGCAATGACAAACCAACAGATGTAGAGATTGGCCTACAGGCTGACCTTAGAGAACCTAATATCCAGCTAATAAAGCTAAAAGTACTAGCAACACAACAAAGTTTGTTTTTCTATTTTATGTAACATAATCCAGACAAGGAGATTTTTTTTTCTTCATCTATTCCTTTTTAGTGTATTTTGGCAGTGACATTTTATTTTGCTCTTCATGGTTGATAAATTGTAGATCTTTCTGCAAACCATTGTCACTTTGCAAATAAAATAAATTACTAAATTCATAAAAATTCATGCAGCAGCCCTTCTTTATTGGATGCTGAATTTGTCAGCTTACAATTCTTTTTTTATGTGTGTTGTATTTTGTTTTACACTATTTATAAACCTGTAAAAATTTAAGCTGAGCATACAAGACAAAATGTCTAAACAGAGGTTACTTTTAGAGAAAACTGCATGTCAAAGCAATCAGCACATCCAAATAAGTCATTACATCCAGCTGAACTTGTTTGTGAAATTTGACAATTTGACAATTTTCCTGTACAAAATAACTTTGGTTCCACCTCCAACTCCCTATTGGGATTTAGGGCTGGATTTGCTCTCTCTGCTGCCCCTAGCCTAGGTTCCTCAATTTTGCGCCCCTACCCGCCAACCCTCCCCCATGGAGAATAGCAGACCTACAGGCTGCATACAATGTCGCCGATATCTCTTGTACAAAACAAGCGGCGGCTTCCTCGCTGTACATTTTAGCTCTGCTTGCCAAAAGCAGGGCTAAATGTAGAAAACAACTGCCCGCCCGGGCATTAGAAGATTGCAATTCCTCACCCCTGCTGCCCCTCTACTCCCTGCTGCCCCGAGGCTGGACTTTGGTTGGCCTTGTGGGAAATCTGGCCCTGGCCATACTTCTTAAAAAAGGGCAAATAAAGATTTTTCAGGGATTTGC